TTTACAGCAATAGCAGCTCATTAAAAGCGTAACTACTTGGTAGAGGCCAGCGCCAATACATGGCAACTAATTCGCAGCCACAGTCTACTCCTGCTGCTCCTGCTGCTGCTCCTCCATCTAGAAGAGCCAAGCTCATCTGTAAAGCCAGAGTCGTTAACACGCCTGTCTAACTAATCGTGACTTTACGCTTCGTTTGACTTTGCAAATATCGCTGAATGCAGAAGCCGCAAAGCCCACACTCCCCGCCCGAGTCATCGATGGGGCTTGTATAAAAAGCCGCCTGCTTGCAGGAAGTTGTTGCCAAGTTGCAGCCCAAATGATAGCCAAATGTGGCTCATTAACTTGGCTCGGGCTTAGTGTGCTCGCCGCACCCTCCCCTGCACCCACTTGACATGGCTAAAATCAAAAATGTTATATGGTAATATGACGGTTCATTTTTAGCCGCTGGGCGTGCAAATAAATCTTGTTTTTCAACAACTTAATTCAAAAATTTCTGCCACTTGCCATTGCCGCCAGCTTTGGCAACTGCCACAGCCAATGCTGGCAGCATCCCCATCCCCATTCCCATCCCCATAGCCAGCCTCAGCGTCAGCGTCAGCCCGCACCCCCTTGGGCATTCAGCATCTCGTCTCATCCCTGGGCTCCGGTGCCATTGGCATAAAAGTTTTGCTGACTAGCTAAAATTCATTACAACAAATAGAGGCAGCCGCATGTGGCAGCTGGTTGTAGTGTTTGGTGGGGCAGAGTTGAATGTTGAGTGCGGAGCTTGGTGGGATATGGGGCGTGGGGTGGCATGTGGCCCTGGCAGCCTCAACTAATTAATCTGCGTGCCACTGTGCACTTGTTGTTGTTGCTGTTGTTGTTTTGGATAGCTTTGCTTTCATTTGGCCATGCCCTCTCCATGCCAAACACGCCGCGCAATTTGGCTTGCTTAACTTTTTGCACAGTTTGTTACTTTGATTTGTTTTTGTTTTTGCTGCTGTTGCTGTTGTTTTTGCTGTTGTTGTTGCTGTTGCTGTGTTGGCCGCATAAAAGTCGAGTCTTTAGTTTGCGGCTTTTTGCACAGTGCTGCAAAACGCTTTCTTGGCTAAGCCAGTCAGCCTTAGCAGAGCAATCTGTAAATCCAACCATATTTAAATATAATAATGATTAAGCTTAATGTGTTAAACCCACTTGCCAAAGTGCTCGGCTCAAAGTTAAGTTCCAGAGACTTAAAATATATCCTTTATTGCAGGTATATTGGTCTGACGTTTTAATTTCTCTAAGATGGAATTCAATAGAGCTAAGCACTCCAAGAACAGTAAACATATTTGAATTTCCTCTTCTCTGCTCTTCGACTTCTGTTGCTTTATATGAGTTGTTAGGCTATCCTTATTAGACTTTCCCTAATTAACATATGTAGACATTCTCATTAATCATCACTCCACTATTTCATCTTCCACCCACTTGACTTGACATCATTTCTATGACAGCTTTAGCTCGTGAATATCTGTTGACTGTTTCGAGATTTCTGTACATAAGCCTATTTACTCACAGTCTGAGACTCAGATTGTTTGTAGCTGTTATTATCAAAGTATTAAAATATACGTTAACAGATTCTATATACAACGAAACGCCCCATTTTCATCATCCCATAGCTTCAACTATATTGATTGAGCCACTCACCTGACAGATCGATGCGAAACACGGGCACATCCACATAGGTGCTGCTCATGTTCAATCTTAGCTTTTTTGTCTTTGAGTCGTAGGCCTCCAGGTAGAACTGTTGCTGCAGTCCGCCATCGTAGCCCGGCATGCACTCCAGCTCCATCGTCGAGTATATAATGTTGTCATAGTTGTCAAAGTTGATGGTGGCACCGCCACCGGCAGCAACGGCCGCCGAATTGCCATCGTAGCCATTGGCACCACCACCAATCAGGCTTTGTGTGACAACGCCGTTGCTGAAGCTATATTCCATGCGTGAGTAATCGAAATGAGGTTGCTGCCAATCGGCTGGCTGTTCCTGCTGTGGTCGTGTTGTTGTTGTTGTTGCTGTTGTTGTTGTTTTTGTTGCCGATGCTGGTGCTGCGGCTTCTGCCGTAGACAGCGCTATGCTGGCCACAAAATCATCATCACTAACATTGTAGATATCATCATCGGCATCGACATCGACATCCGCATCCGCATCCGCATCCGCAACATCATCCTCTAATGATTCCAAGTCCAGTTGATGCTCCAGGCTTGAAATATCAACATGCTGTCGCTGTCGTTGCGGTTGCTGCTTTTGTTGTGCGCCTGCCTCGTAGTCCGTGACCAAGTCAGTGGGCTCATCTGCTATGTAGTCGCCATCGCCATCGCCATCGCCATCGCCGTCATCATCGTCGTCATCGTGGTCGACTTCTGTCTGCAGCTCGCCAACATCTTCCTCAGCAACCGCAATGTCATCGTCATCGTCATCGTCCTCCTCCTCCTCGTCATCCCCATCGCCAGCGCCGTTGCCATTGCCAGCGCCGTCGCCTTCGTCATTGTTCTCATCATTGTCGACGTTGTCGTTGTTATCCGCCAGCGCAACTCTGGCCTGATCTGTGGACAAAGGCACATCATCTTTGTCTATCTTCGTCTTGACTACATCTTTCTGTGCTGTAGCAACTGCAACTGTTGCTGCTGCTGCCGATGCTGCTGCTGCTGCTGCTGCTGTTGTTGCTTGCTTATTGTTGCTACTAATTGCTGCTGCCATTTGTTGCGCTGCTGCCGCCGGCTTGTTGCTAATTTGTGGCGCATTTGGTGGCAGCAATCTGCTCTTGACTTTCTCATTGCCAATCGGCTCCAAAGATTTGCGTGCTCGCATTGTTGCCAGCATTGCGTCAATGTCGCTGCTGCTGCTGCCGCTACTGCTGCTGCTGCTGGCATCATTCTCATTCTTGGTTGTTGTTGTTGTGCCTGCTGCTGCTGTTGCTGCTTGGGCTGATGCTGCTGCTGCTGCTGCCGTAATGTCATTTGCTGCTTGACGTTTGCTTCGCCTGGCTGCTGCAGAATGATGGATTATGTTGTGCTCGTTTACCTCGCTGCTTAGCCCTTGTTGGTGGCGCTGCTCCTGCTGCTGCTGCTGCTGCTGTCGTCGTTGTTGTTGCTGTTTGTGCATGTTTTTCTGTCGCTTATTAAAATACTTTGCTGGCTGTTTGCCGTTGTTGTTTTTGACATTCGAGCCAGCAACTATTTCAGCCTGTTTTATATGTGACAATGATAAATTTGATTTTGTTGCACGTTGCAGCTTTTTCATTGTTGTTGTTGCTGTTGCTGTTGTAGCCGTTGCTGTCTTAAGCAGCTTTGCAGCACGCCGCACACGCCGCTTTGTGTCCTGTGGCAACTTTGACTGCTGCTGCTGCTGCTGCTGCTTCTGCTTCTTGCCCAGTAATCCATCAGTTTTGTTATTGATGTGGGCGGCCGTGGGCGTGGCCGCTGCCTTGGCCAGCTTGCCACGCTCAATGGCTGCCAATGTCTGCGACGGTGTAAATGATGTTCGCTTTCTAAGACGCTGCAATTGTTGTGGACTCAGGCTATATTTTTGCTGCTGCTGCTGTTGTTGTTGTTGCTTATTATTAGATTTAACATGGCCAGCATTTATTTTGCTCTTGCCTTTCATATTTTTATTATTGGCAGCTGATGCAGCCGCATTGTTCCGCCCATTATTGTTGTTGCCATTGCGCTCACGTACGTATTCCATGTGCGGATAATTCGCATCGTGTCTGCCGTATTGTGTTTGCAGCATTTGATTGCCGTGCATTGTCGTCTGATTCGATGAATTGAGAGACGCAGAGGTCACCACATACGGACGCAGCGTACAGTTGCGCAATGCGCCCGGCTTGGCTATATACAAAGCGCAAAAAAAGAAGAAGAAGAGGAAGATAGTCAGTAAGAAAAACAACAACAATCGAAAAGGAAAATCAACCCAAATAATAAACCAATGGAATTTAATTTAAATTCTATCAAATTAATTACAAAACACACTCACCCGCCGGCACCACCTGGAACAGACAAGGCTCCGACTGTTTGCCAATCGCATTGCGGCCCCAGCAAGCCAGCGTGCCGTAGTCTCGCTCGCCCTTGGGCGTATAGATCAGCTCACTAACTGTTTCCACTGTAACCACAACAGAAAAAAAAAAAATCGTCATGTATTTATACGTATGTGTGTGTGTGCGTGCATGTGCATGCAGAGAATGAAGAGAGTCAATTGTGCCTTAAATGGATTTCATTGTGATTGTGCGGCTGGACATGGAGCATTGTATTTGCATTAGGTTTTGGGCCAAGTTAAATGAAATAAATTCTGCCTGGTCAGTCAGGCCAACTGGACAGCACAGGTAATTCAATTTATGTGCATAATATTGATAACAAGTAAGAATGCTGCACGCAAAGTGAGCAAAGACTAGATACCCTGTAGAAGCGGGAATTATTGGTAATTGTTACAGAAGGAAAGTCTTCTAGAAGAAAGTAAACTTAAAGCTCAAATGTATGAATGAAAGACACAAGATCTATACTTTTCCATTTGAAGTAGATAATTATCTTATCTTGGAATGTTTTATAATGTTTATAATCAATACATTAAAGAAAATTACATATGCACACATATTATTTATATCATTTGTAATAGTGTTACATAAATGACTGCAGCAACAATATGCCCGCTCTGTGAGCTTCTCATGGCTACAGGGTATAGCCAACTATAGGCTCCAGCTGTTCATTTTGCCAAGCCTGCTCAAGCGCAAGCAAAATGCAAATTGTATGCATTGCACATGCAGAGCCTGGCTCAATGAGGAGCTGGCCAAAACTAAAAATGAGGTGGACCGTTAGTTACTTACCATAGCTCTCGAAGTGAGTTTCATTGGACTCGACAACGGTGTGTCGCACATCGCTGCTGGTGGTCATGGTTGGATCCTGTATGGTCGCATAGTGTCCCGACGGCACCTCGAAGTGCTCGCCGCTGCTCGAGAAGGTCCACTCGAAATCGATTTCTGGCGGATCGGAGTTGACGCGGCAGGGTATGGGCACGGCCTCCTCCAAGGAAGCGCCAATAACGCCAATCGTGCTGCTGCTGCAAACGGGCGCATCTGTGCGAGAGAAGAATGTATATATGTATATACAATATATGTATGTATATGAGCAGAAGGCCAGTAAAATGCAAAATAATGAGCAGCTGCACTGTCTATAAAGCAAGTCTCAATAATATGTTATATATTTATATATGTGTATGTATGTATGTGTTTGGGTATATACGATTTTATATTGTATTTAAATTGCTTGGCTTGAGCCTGACAGCTGAGCACCGGACAGCAGCCGAGCAAATTGACAGCTTTGATTTTCAATTTAACTGCAGCAGCTGGTGCGGCACCGACAGGTGTGAGGTGTCTCGGCCAGCGGCCAGGCGACATTTGATGCATTTTATTTAAATTGAACTCTGTCGGAGAGTGACATATTGTTTTCATAAATTTCAACTGTTTGCAGTTGACTTCAACACATCAGCAACAGAACTTGGCTCCAGCACTTGGCTTATGATTTATTCAAAGTATTGTCACCCATGTCACAGCTCACACACACACACACACGCACTCACACACTCCCAAAAACTTTGACTAGAAGTTAAAAAACAGCTGCTGCTGCCGTCGCGTCATAAACAAGCGCAGACAAGTCAAGCTCAAGCCGAATAAAGCCTAAGACTTCTTAGCACAAGTTTTGTACTTCATGCAGTTGATATTTCTCGCCCGAAATAAGAAGAGAAAGAAAATTATTTGAAAAGTTTTTGGCTGCATAAAAGCAATACGAATGCCATAAAGTGTTGAGGTACTTGCAGCATGTAAAAGCTGATCAAATGCATTTGGTTGCACCACAATATGCATGCATGTGCATATGTATGTATATTTCTATGTGTTATATATAAAAATTTATATGGATTATCCTTGCCATGTGTTTGTGGTTTACAAGCTGCTTTTAAGCTATTAAACTGAGCAGCTTGACCAACTTATCAGACAACAGTTTTGTTCCACTCACTACCTATCTCTCTCTCTCTCTCTCTCGCACACACACACACATAGAGATTCTCTTTCTCACTCTGTTTATCTATCTGCTTGTCTGTCTGCTTGCAGTTGCCATAAAAAAATAGTCATAAATTTTATATGGCTGCGTCAATTTCACAATCGTAGAATGTCACTTCGAACATATTCTGATTAATTTCCAGCCAAGATACGAGCGCCAACTGCCATAAATCCATTTATCTCAATCATAGTCATGCCACACAATATTGCTACCCATTCACATACATTAACCCAACAATCGCCAGCCCTGCCCTGCCATGCCATGCCATGCCCAGCCGCCGCATTTTGGGCTGTGTGCGTTATGCAAATGTTAACGTGGCGTATACGTTATATGCCCGTGCAAATAGCTTTGGATGCGCTTACGCTCTGCGGCACTCTCGGATAGCTCTTCAATTTTGATAGCTGGCGATGTGTACAGTTATATACGGTATGTATGCACATACATTTACGTTTATATCCCTTGCGCTTGTATTTGCTTTTAATTATCGCAATTATCGCAAAAGGGTAACTCAATGCAATGCAAACAGGGTACACGGATCCATTTGCTGATGTCTTCGATTTTATTCCATTTCACTTTTACCAACAAGCTGATGCAGCACATTATTGTATACATTTTCAATTTCATTTACGTTTTCGTTTACGTTTTCGTTTTTCACTCTGGCTCTTTATTTGCCTTCAATTGCTAATTTGCGTTAATATTGTTTGCGTTCATATAAGCATTTGTATATACATATATATATTTTTTATATATTATTTATATATTTCAATAGAATTAAATGCAATTGAATTGAAATCAGTCAACCGCAAAAATCAAGCTTAATTAAATTTTTAGTTAAATAAACTAAATAATATGCATAAATGCTGCAGCTAAAATTGCAATTAATTAAATAATCTGCTTTTACTTGGAGCGTTGGCAGAGCGAAGGCAAAAACTTATTTGCATATAAAATGCATTTCCTTTTTTTTTTTTTTTTTGTTTTTTGTGCTGCGACTCCATTAAATATGCACAATAAAAATTGAATTTTCCACAACAGTACACACACACACACACAAATATATATATATATATATAAATGTCTATATATGTATGTCTGTTTATATATGTAGATAGATCGATGTGATGTGCTGACCTGACCTGTTGTCCGGCTGGACGAGCGTCCGCTGTTGCCCATAATTATAAATGTTTTTACAATGACTATGTGTTTCAATAATAAAAGCATATCATTCATTTTTATTATCCCGCCGGCCACTTTCACCAGCGCTTGTCCAGCCATGTGCCATGTGCCCTGTGCCATGTGCCATGTGCCATGTGAATATGCATACTTATTTATGCCCACGCACAGGCAACACTAACGTTCTCTCTCTCTCTCACTCTATGTATAAATATCCATATGTATATATTTTGTATTTAAGCATCATTAATTATTTAGAAAAACAGTCGGAAGTAAATGCTCTATAACGGTAATTGAGACATTCTCAATATGTGTGCGTGCACAATCGAAATCATTTTATGCGCCCATTGTCAGGCCATGAATTTATATTGCGCTTTGTAATATGCTCGCACTCTCTGATATATGGTTTGTGTGTGTGTGTGTGCGAGTGTGTGTGTAATTACATGTGTGTACATGTGTATTTGCTAACGAGTGTCAACAGCAAATTTAAAACAGTTAATTATGATATGTAGCTGTTGTTGTGAGGCCTTTAAGTCAATAAATTGCTGTCGCTGTGGCAGCAGATGGAAAGCCAAACGATTTACCATTCACATATTCCAAATACAATAGGTAAAGGCATTAATTATTAATGAATGCCAAGTAATGGAAGCCCTTTCTAATCAGTTATCGTAATTATATGAATCGAGCGCAATTTATTGTTGTTGTAATTTTTCTAAGTGATTATTAATTGGGTCGCATTAGCAAAGAGAAGGCGATATGCGTGTAGATGGATGATGTCTAATGAAAACAATAATAATAAAATAGTAATAACAATAATAATACAACTAATGACAATGATAATGATAATGATAATGATTGTAATTGTAAACAGTACAGAACTTTTCATCATTTTAAGCCATATTTCGATCCTTTATCAACTGGCAAATTCCATTGCCAACATTTGTTAGCAGATATTGTTGTTAGCTTTGGAGCAGAAGTTTCCAAAAATATAGTTTCAGTTTTGAAATTCCATTAAACAAAGACTTTATTGCAATCGCATTGTTTGCCTAAATGAAATTTCCCATCTTTTTTGGCACATTATTATTATTATTATTTTTGGTTTTCTGTTTTTGTTTTTGTTTTGCGAAAAGTCAGTAATTGTCAAATTTTTGCCATTTGCAAAGAGCTAAAAATGAAAAGCCGTTAGACACGTACACATACCGAAAACACAATATATATATGTGTGATATATGTATGTGTGTGTGTGTGTGTGTATGTGTGCTTATATATTGTTCATAATACGGCTTTCTGCACAAAATATATTGTAACATTTATTGTTGTTGTTGTTGCTGCTGGTGTTGTTGCAGGATTTGTTGTTCTACTTGTCAACGGTCGGAGGGTTTTTGTGATTTTGTGATGTGAACTGCCGCACACCGGGTCCGGGTCCGGGTCCGGGTCTGCTCCATGGAGCTTATCAAGTGGGTGGTGCCAGCAATGCACGGCACTGCACCGCACCGGACAGTGAGTGGTTGGGCAGTGGTTATGTCTATTTGTTGTCTATTTGTGCATAAATTTACGCATATGTATTTTTAATGCTCCGCTCGACTGACATCGACTGTCAGCATTATTTTCTGTGTGCATTTTTGCTATTATTTTCAAGCGCTTTAACAATTGAGAGCTTTAAAGCATTTCTCGTGTTTTTTCGGCAATTTAATAAACTCTTGTTGAGTAGATTATATTCTATAGAATTTGTAATATATTGCCCCTGGTTACTTTGCTCGTTGCTAGATTAAGTGCTTCCCCTCTTATGCAATAAATCATTTCTATGTCCAGATATACTCACAGCGTATTCGCAGGTTGACCAGCGCGCTCTGCGTCTCGCCGCGATCATTGGCCGCCGAACAGGCATAGAAGCCGGAGTGAACGCGACCCACGCGCTGCAGCACCAGGCTGCGCGTGGAGATGATGATGCCCCAGGATACGTTCTGTGTCACGGGCAGACCCTGCAACGGAATGCACTCAGAAAATCTGCCAAGAGAATAATTGGGGGGCGGGGCAGGACTTACATCGTGCGACCAGGTGATGCGATGCTCCTTGGGATTCGCCTTGATGTGGCACTCAAAGTAAACGTCGTCGCCCTCCTTGATATCATCGGGCCGCAGCGTGGAGCCCAGGGAGAGGGTGACCTGTGGCGGATCTGTGAAGTGTGGATAATTGAATTGTAGCATTTATATGAATTTCACATTTAACGCAAATTTTTAATTGCAATTTTTAATAAACATATTTTGGGCGCTTTCGCTTTCGTTTTCGTCTTCCTCATTTATTTTCGGGCTCAATTTCGCAGGCTGGCAAATTAAAATGTGTTTTGGCGCGGGCGTGCGTTGGATTTTATAGCAGAGGCTGGTGTGATATAAAATATAAAATCGAAAAATATTATAGCATAATAAAATGGGGAATTGCAGGAGACGCGATGCGCCAAGGCACGACCATAAAAGTTAACAGCGCGTCTGTTGAACCGCTTTATAAGCCGGGTTAACCCTGAACGCCGCCGACACCGACCAATGGGTATGACAAAATTTTTAAATTAAAATTGTTGCCGTTACGCAGTGCTATGGCGTGAGCTTCTATATATATATATATATATATATAGAAGTTCTGGCAACACAAATACCGATGATGGATTACATAAAAAAATTTAGTGCACTTTTATTTTTATAACATAATGATTATTTATCGAAGGTGAAATCCATAGTGTGAGTGAGACTGTGTGTGTGTGTGTGTAAGCGGCTGCCTGGTATCATAAATATTTGTATGGGATATATGGTAATACAGCGGCGAAGATTTCACAAAAAAAACATAAGCTCTTTTCCTATTGTGATCTATGTAGTATTAAAATCTGTTCATCCGCCTTGCTTTTTGAATTTAACTGAAATTTTTAGGCTAAG